AACGGAGGCGTCTGATTGGTCCATTATTTACGTTTAAATCTTGATTTAGGGACAAAATAGAGAAATAAAAAATTCAAGATCCTGAGTCGAGTCGGTAACACTTTATAATAACTACACCTTATTTAGCCTTAATAAAGCATGAACAAAGACTTAATTAATAATGAACAAAGACTTAATTAATAATGATTCACACTTAGTTACTACTTAATTACTACCTTAATTAGCACTTGCACTTAATTTGCCTGTGCTGTAAATAGTTACACATAATTCTTTCATACTTAATTACTCATGAACTAACCATTTGAGCATTTATTAATCATTAATAAACTATGAGAGAATGATTTACTAATAACACAATGTAATGATCATTCAGCAGCTGTTATCTGTTAGTTAAGTCTTTTTGAGAGATTTTATAACGTGAAGACAAATTATCCTTTATTAACCATTTACTAAGCATGAAGTATTGTTAATTAAATCTTTGTTTGTTATTAATTAAGTCTTTGTTCATGCTTTATTAAGGCTAAGTAAGGTTGTAGTTATTATAAAGTGTTACCGTCGAGGCTTCACAAGAACATTTAAGAACAAACGAACGAGAGAAAAGCTCAGGTCATGGCTCAGGTCACGGCTCAGGTCACGGCTCAGGTCACAGACAGAGGAGCCGGAGTGAGAATGAGCCGGAAGAGCCGCCTGGAGCACTTCCTGTTTGTCCATTTATATAAAGAGGAAATGATGAGAACAGATGTGACTGAACCTGTCAGAACCATGTGACCTGATGCAGTCTGAGAGACTCAGGTCAAACAAAGACACAAGAAGAACTGAACAATCACAGGTGTCTGTGTTGTGTGTCCGTGTGTGTGTCTGTGTGGTTGTGTGTCTGGTGGTTGTGTGTCTGGTGGTTGTGTGTCTGGTGGTTGTGTGTCTGTGTGTGTTGTGTGTCTGTTGTGTGTCTGGTGGTTGTGTGTCTGGTGGTTGTGTGTCTGGTGGTTGTGTGTCTGGTTGTGTGTCTGGTGTGTGTCTGGTTGTGTGTCTGGTGGTTGTGTGTCTGTGTGTCTGGTGGTTGTGTGTCTGTGGTTGTGTGTCTGGTTGTGTGTCTGTGTGTGTTGTGTGTCTGTGTGTGTGTTGTGTGTCTGTTGTGTGTCTGGTGGTTGTGTGTCTGGTGGTTGTGTGTCTGTGTGTCTGTTGTGTGTCTGGTTGTGTGTCTGTGTGGTTGTGTGTCTGTGTGTGTTGTGTGTCTGTTGTGTGTCTGGTGGTTGTGTGTCTGGTGGTTGTGTGTCTGTTGTGTGTCTGGTTGTGTGTCTGTTGTGTGTCTGTGTGGTTGTGTGTCTGGTTGTGTGTCTGTTGTGTGTCTGGTGGTTGTGTGTCTGGTGGTTGTGTGTCTGGTGGTTGTGTGTCTGTTGTGTGTCTGGTGGTTGTGTGTCTGGTGGTTGTGTGTCTGTGGTTGTGTGTCTGGTGGTTGTGTGTCTGTTGTGTGTCTGGTGGTTGTGTGTCTGTTGTGTGTCTGGTGGTTGTGTGTCTGTTGTGTGTCTGTGTGTTGTGTGTCTGTGTGTGGTTGTGTGTCTGTGGTTGTGTGTCTGGTTGTGTGTGTGTGGTTGTGTGTCTGTGTGTGTGTTGTGTGTCTGTGTGGTTGTGTGTCTGTTGTGTGTCTGGTTGTGTGTCTGTGGTTGTGTGTCTGTGGTTGTGTGTCTGTGTGGTTGTGTGTCTGTGGTTGTGTGTCTGTGTGTGGTTGTGTGTCTGTGTGGTTGTGTGTCTGGTTGTGTGTCTGTGTGGTTGTGTGTCTGTGGTTGTGTGTCTGTGGTTGTGTGTCTGTGGTTGTGTGTCTGTGTGTGGTTGTGTGTCGTTGTGTGTGTGGTTGTGTGTCTGTGTGTGTTGTGTGTCTGTGTGGTTGTGTGTCTGGTGGTTGTGTGTCTGTGTGTGTTGTGTGTCGTGTCTGTGGTTGTGTGTCTGTGTGTGTGTCTGTTGTGTGTCTGTGTGGTTGTGTGTCTGGTGTTGTGTTGTGTGTTGTTGTGTGTCTGGTTGTGTGTCTGTTGTGTGTCTGTTGTGTGTCTGTGTGTGTTGTGTGTCTGTGTGTGTGTGTGTCTGTTGTGTGTCTGTTGTGTGTCTGTTGTGTGTCTGTTGTGTGTCTGTTGTGTGTCTGTTGTGTGTCTGTTGTGTGTCTGTTGTGTGTAGAAGTTGCTGACCTCGTTGTGTGTTTCTGTGATCTCAGCTGTTCAGGTCTGATCTTCGTCTTCTCCTCTAAACTCAAAGTGACAACTGCTCTGACACACACACACACACACACACACACACACACACACACACACACACACACACACACACACACACACACACAGACACACACACACACACACACACACACACACACACACACACACACACACACACACACAGACACACACACACACACACACACACACACACACACACACACAGACACACACACACACACACACACACAGACACACACACACACACACACACACACACACACACACACACACACACACACACACAGACACACACACACACACACACACACACACACACACACACACACACACACACACACAGACACACACACACACACACACACACACACACACACACACACAGACACACACACACACACACACACACACACACACACACACACAGACACACACACAGACACACACACACACACACACACACACAGACACACACACACACACACACACAGACACACACACACACACACACACACACACACACACACACACACACACACACACACACACACACACACAGACACACACACACACAGACACACACACACACACACACACACACACACACACACACACACACACACACACACACACACAGACACACACACACACACACACACACACACACACACACACACACACACACACACACACACACACACACACACACACACAGACACACACACACACACACACACACACACACACACACACAGACTCGCGTTTAAACAAACCCTGACAGACGAGATAATCCAGCCTCATGTCACCTCACAAACACCACGGACGAGTCAGGGTCAGACCGGGTTCAGACCTGGTTCAGACCTGGTTCAGACCGGGTTCAGACCGGGTTCAGACCGGGTTCAGACCTGGTTCAGACCGGGTTCAGACCGGGTCCAGACCGGGTCCAGACCGGGTCCAGTGTGTAAAAGAAGAAAGATCTGCACCAGGGATGTAACAATAACTGAAATAACTGATCTCGTATCGTCAAAGTTTTCACAATAACATCGTGGATCATCACGATAAATCGACTCACAAGTGTCTTTGTTTAAATGAAGAGTTAAAAACACAGAGGAACTACACAGACCAGGATCCTTTGCTCCAGTTCACTGCAGACGACAAGAAAAAACAACAGTTCTGACACTTTTAACTCTCAGTTCTTTGGATTAAGTTTTGTCGAGGTGTTTTAAATATTCACAGTTTTGTTTAGTCTCCAAAAAATATCGCATTAAATATTGCACCGTGAGGTTCAGACCGTGAAAATATCGTATTGTGAGACTTGGATATCGTTACGTCCCTAGTCCGTGCTGAACATCATACTGTGGTGGCACTGAAATAAAAATATTCAGTTTGAAAGAAGAACTAAAAATGCAACGTCTTAAAATCTCCATCAGTTTGACATTTGGCTCGATCCAAACTCTAGTCCGGGCTGAGTTATTGTGAATAAGTTGAATAAATTTTGACTGTTTTGTTTAGTTTAACGTGTTTTATAATCCGGTGCGCTTTATAGTCTGAAAAATACGGTAGTTTAGATGCAAATCTCCAGGCACAGACAGAAATAAAGGGACAGATCAGACCCCAGATCAGCTCCAGACTCTGGGGGCTCAAGTGACACCAGAGCGAAGAAGCGTGAACACAGCCTCAGGCCACGACAACAAACTCATGAGCTCACAGATTCACCTCCACAAACACTCGATATCTCCCTCTCTCCTTTCTCCTCTTTCTCTTTCTCCTCTTTCTCTCTCTCAGTTTTCAGAGGTCGTTCAGAGGTCGTTCAGAGGTCGTTCAGAGGTCGGGGGGGAAGCCCAAAGCAAAACCACAACATGAGATCAGAGAATCTTTCACTGTGGAGCCGCACGTCCCAAAACAAACACAGAACAGTCCAATCCACGAGGCAAAAACTAAACTAAACCAGGAATTAAACAGAAACAAACTGAAACAGGAGCGTGAGTCGCACAGATGAAACTCCTGCACAAGTTTCAGTCGCTCCCACAAAGAAATGATGCTGATTGATGTTTGAGATAAACAAACTTCAGTATCCAACAAATCGGTGTCTGTGTTTTAGGGGAAACTCTGGTAAATGATTGTAGTTTCTTCTTTTAAACATTTATTGCCTAAATTTAAGATTTTCTGACGAGTTGAGTCATGGAAGAAAAATATATGTGACAATTTTTAAGATGTTACAACCAAATCAGAACGAGTGAGAAGAAAATAAATCTGAAAACCAGATGAAGAACCTGAGAGGAGGTTTAAAATCTTGGCCAGATCAGAGACGTGTGCAGTGCAACCGTAAGAGGACAACGCAAAAAAAACTAAATCTAAACACTTAAATCTATCAGAGAATGACTTGAAATTCATGCAGCAAGTTTCTTTTACTGGACGATTTATCTTAAAATAAACGACCTCTAGACGAGAATGAAGCGTCTCAGAACGAGTGAGGAGATAATAAATCTGAAAACAACATAAATAACCTGTTATAAGTTTTGAAATCTTGGTCGGATCAAGGAAATGTGCAGTGGGTTTGAATAAGACCTGGTAAAGATCACTAGATTACTCAGACATGCACAGACGACTCCCTGAGCTCCTCAGATTCAGATTCAGATTGAGACATGTTTGTGTTGAGGAAGCACAAGGGAGAAGCTCGACACATCTACAGTATATATATATATATATATATAACAGCCCCCGTCCCTGTCGTCGTGGTCGTGGTCGTGGTGGTCGTGGTGGGCGCGGTCTGACCTTGGGCAGGTAGGGGGCGCCGCGGATCCGCTCCACCATGTCCTGTCCCTCCGGATGCACCGCCCCCACGTGGCTCCACATCTGGTCCCAGGTGTGTGCGTCGATGGGGAAGCCCGAGCGGTTCACGTAGAACTGGACGCCGCCCTCCTTGTCGTCGTCGTCCCCGGGGGAGTGAGCCGTACCCGGGCACGAGGACGGCTCGGCGCGGGAGCCACAGCGGCTCAGCAGGCAGTGAGCGCTGGAACTCTTCGACCTGAAACACCGAACACAGAGAACAAACACAGTTATTCACCAACAGGAGGCAGACTGCAGACAGGAACAGGAAAGAAAACAGGTCAGAGGTGAAAAAGGTGAAACGGAGCGAGAAGAGATGAGACTCAAGGCCCTGCTCCTTCACTTTTTATTTATTTATTATTTATTTATATTATTATTTATATTTATTTATTTATTATTTATTTATATTATTGTGTTTAATATTTATTATATTATTTTTTTAAATGTATATATTTATATATATATTTTTATTATTTATTATTATTATTATTATTTATTACTATTATTATTTACTTCATTTTTTATTATTTTTTAGTTTTTTATTTATTATTTGTTTATTTATTTATTATTTTTATTTCTATTATTATTCTTTTCTATATTCTTGCATCATGATTAACAGCCAAGACATATTTGTTTTAGTTTTTGGGCAAATAAATAGACCTAATAAATGTTTTCCACCATTATTGAAACATACTGTCATTTCTGGACTGTAAACTACTGGTCCAAACTTTTACAACATCACATTGTTTCCAGTTTTTTACCTTTTACTGTCGACCAAAACGTTTCTAAACTTTTGATTCATGGAAGTGTCGATGTTTGTCAGATGTAACAGCTGAACTCACTCGTGGCTCGTTCTTTTTACGACACAAATCAAATATTGTTGAGAAAGTTCTTCCTGAGTCTGTCTGTTTCATAAATGTGGCACTTGTCGGTCGCTTCACTCTTCAGTCTTTAAGTCTGGACACTCCAGGTTTTCAAACTTTACCATCTTGTTCTTTTGTTCCTGAGGTGGTTTTGTCAGAGCGTCGACTTGTGTTTTGTTCTTTTATTTATTTTTGAACCTTTGTCTGTTCAGTTTTTCACTGAACTCGCACGACCTGAAGTGCAGAAAATAAGTGGAAGAAGTGAGTTGCTCTAAAACGTCTGACGGTCGTGAAGCCTCGACTTTTTTCTCACACTTTGAACCGTGCGGCGAATAAAACGATGCTGCGAAAATATGGACAGATCCTTTGTTTGGCACATTGTCCGTTCATAAATACAGTTTACAGCACAGGTGTCAAACATACGGCCCGGGGGCCAGATCCGGCCCTCCAAGACCTTTAATCTGGCCCTAGACTGATTTTCTACTCAAATATTTGAATGATATTTTCTATTAAAATGGTGTTAATTTTGTGTGGTGTTTATCACAGCAGCGTCTCCAGCGTCTCTGTACGTGGCCCCTCCCACCAGAGCAGCACAAATGAAGACTTGTCTCTTTCCAAACGCTCTTAAAGGACGATGGTTTTGACTGTTGACCGTGACCCCTCATCAGAAAAATGTCCAACATGAGAAAAGTGGAGCCGAGTGCAGGATTTTACAACAAAAATGGACTTATTCTGTTTACAGAAAGTTCATGTTCAAACTTTGAGTTGAAATTGTATTTTTCTTAAAGTTTCAGGTTGTTCATAATATTATAATATTTAGTAAAAGAAAGAGTTCATCAGTTAAAAAAGATTTGTGTAATAGATTTGTGTTTCTCTGCACAAATATTTGAACTTCTTGTTATTTTTGGGGTTTATATGACATGAGTTTTCTGATCCGGACACTTTGGATCAAACACGACTCGACCCCCGGAACAACATGAGTTTGACACGACTGGACTAGACTCAAACACAGAGTGAAGGTTCGTCTCGTACCTGCCGTGGCGGCTCAGTTTGGCCGGGCTGGTGCTGGTTCTGTTGGGGGAGTTTGGACCCGTCATGTCTCCAGACCCAGAGGACGAGGGGACGAGGGGCGGGACGAGGGGGGCGGGGACGAGGGGCGGGGACGAGGGGCGGGGGGGCTCCTCCGGTTACGAGCGCTCGTCTGTGGGCGGCGGGCGCGGGCTGGACATGGCGGCTTCACTCACAAACCTGGAGGAAGAGAAAAAGTAGAAATGATTCTAGACTCACATTTTCAAAACTTTCAATTTGAAACATATTTAAACCCCAGAGTCACAGAGCAGGTTTCCAACACGTCCAGATGAAACGTGAGAAAGACTGAAATCTGAACTGAAGCTCGTGAACAGAGAATCACCAACAACATGTCATGTTTCACAGAAAGTCCAGATGAAGATGTTTGGTTTTTGTTGTGTTTTCAGGTTGAGTCGTTCTCTCCCAAACTGAATCTGCTGCTCAAACTCACCAAGACTGAAACTTCAACACAACATCTGGACAAAACTAATCTGGACTTAGAACCAAAAATGTAAAGAGGAAAAGAATCTCCTGCAGGACTAAAGGATCATTGGAGGAATCTGAGTTTCTGAACTTGTTCTCCTCACAGACTCTTGGGGCTTCGTTACAGTTTTTCATGAACTTGCTTCTCTTCAGATGTTGATGTTGGGACCTTCTGTGTTTCTGAACATGTTTGTGTTGGTCCTTGGTTCTTACACAGAGTAAAACCTCATGGAGACACAGGGACATTTATTCAGTTCACTGTGTGAGTAGATGTTCCTCTGTGGATCTGCACATGTTCATGTGATCTGCTCCATGGACACGAGCCTGGACACACTCTGTCTGAGACTCACTGTTTTTACAGAAATCTCCATCTGCTCCTCAGATGTTTCTCCTCCTTATTCTGTCATTTTCAATTTTTCAATTCAGTTCATTAAAATTGTATTAAATTTTAACAATACGTCTTTTGCAGTGAACGACATTTTAAAGGCGTCTCTGGATTTAAATACAGAAAAATGTTTTTAATCATTTACAAAATGATAAAATATACAGTGAAATATAACAGAAAATGTAAAGGTTTTACGTGTTGTTATATTTTCTTTTTTTGAGCGTTTGAAAAGTGTAAACGTCCCTGACAGAGCGACAGTCGTTTCAGCTCTCGTACGTTCAGACTTTTACAGTTTCAGTTCAGTGTGAGGATGATAAACGTCTCGGTGTTAAACCTGATGCCCTGGAGACAAAAACATCGTCCACACAAAACTCTGCTCCGACCTCCACTTAGAACAACTCAACTTTAAAACGGAAAAACACAGAGAAAAGAGAAAATCAAACAACTCAAACCACAGACACTCAAGAAATTATGACTTATTATGATTTTTACTGAAATCCACTTAGAAACAAGAGAAACAGACGCTTTTATTCACTCATTTTACCACAAAACTAAACTAAACTGTGGCCCATAAAATCTTGGTTTAGTCCTGGTTTAGTCCTGGTTTAGTCCTGGTTTAGTCCTGGTTTAGTCCTGGTTTAGTCCTGGTTTAGTCCTGGTGCAGTGTCATTAAATGAACCACAAGTCCAGATTTATTTAACCTGGTTTATGTCCAAACCTCCGTTAAATACACAAATAATCATCATTTACACTAATATTTTAATATTTAAAGCCAATTTTTTTCCCTTTTACTGTAAAATTATCCAAATAAATTTTGACCAAATCCTTAAACAAACACAGATAAACAACAACACTATAAAAATCATGCAAAAACAAAAGAAAAACAGTGAAATATTTTGGATTTCTGACATTTTTAGTAAAAATAAAATGTACTGAATGTTTCCACAGCGTGAATCGTCCTCACAGCTCCAACGCTCCTTCATATTATTAAAAGTATTTATTATTAAAAGTATTTATTATTAAAAGTATTTATCTCTGACACGTCCAAACACAAACACACGGAGGAAAAAAACACTATTTTATATTTTTTATGTTTTTTTAATCTTTATCTTGATTTTCAGTCACGGAAACACGAGCCGCAAAACAAAACAAAACAAAACAAAACTGTGGTTCAAAAAATCTTGGTTTAGTTCTGGTTCAGTCTTACTTTACTCTTGGTCTTGGTTCTGGTTTAGTCCTGGTTTAGTCCTGGTTTAATTTTAGTTCCGGTTAAATCCTGCTTTAGTCATGGTTCTAGTTTGGTCCCGCATTACTCCTGCTTTAGTCTTAGTCCTGGTTCAGTCCTGGTTTAGTCCTGGTTTAGACCTGGTTTAGTCCTGGTTTAGTCCTGGTTCAGTCCTGGTTTAGACCTGGTTTAGACCTGGTTTAGACCTGGTTCAGTCCTGGTTCAGTCCTGGTTCAGTCCTGGTTTAGATCTGGTTTAGTCCTGGTTCAGTCCTGGTTCAGTCCTGGTTTAGATCTGGTTTAGTCCTGGTTCAGTCCTGGGTTAGTCCTGGTTTAGTCCTGGTTCAGTCCTGATCTTCTCTGTCAGTAGAAATAAACTAAAGTCACGTGATTTTTTTTATATTATTAAAAGTATTTATCTATGACACGTCCAAACACAAACGCACCGAGTAAAAAAACGAGGATTTTATATTTTTTTGTTGTATTTTTATCCTGATTTTCAGTCATGGAAACGCGATCCGCCGCATCCTCACCGTGATCCCCGCACAACCCGAACCGAACCGAGCCGAGGACAGACCCGCTCATTCCCCAGGCTCCAGGCTCCAGGATCCAGGCTCCAGGCTCCAGGCTCCAGGCTCCAGGTTCCAGGCTCCAGGCTCCAGGCTCCAGGACTCGTGTTTTGGTCCCGGGCTTCGGAACTTCAGCCCCTTTTTTTGGAGCCCGTCAAGTTAAGAGACGCTGGCGGAAAAACGGCTGACGCGACTTCAAAATAAAACCTCACTGTGCTTTTAAAGTTGGTTTTACGTTCAAATTTTCTTTACAAACAGTTGAAATACACGCTTATTACTTAAAAACACGATTAATTGCATATTCTTTAAACAAATACTACGTTATAATCGCAAAAAGGTTGGAATCGCAATTTATTTTGAAGCAATTCCCCGGAAGTGCTAATATTTTGCTACTCCGCTAACTGACTGCGGATTGTTTCCTCCCACTTCTGTAGCCTGAAAAAAACCCGACCTCTTCTGCGCATTTTTCACGTTTTTGTCATCGTCAGCACTTACTATCCGCACGTAAAACCCGCATTTGCGTTGATACGCGCGTGATTTAGGTCGTTTTCCTGTTTAAATCTGGTGTAAAACGGCGTTAAAGCGGTGTTACGGATCAGGCAGCGCCGCCTTTCGAGGCTGGTGTAGCCGGCGTCTCCTGATTGGTCCAAGCAACAAAGAGAGGCGGGCTCATCGTGGCCGTTTGCCCATATTTGGAAGTGACGGCGCGCTGTGATTGGTGGGTTTTTTAAAAAGAGGAAGCGTCAACAAGTGATAGATCTGCAACAAATGGGATTTTTTGACTCCTGCAGCAGCTGTCGGTTCGGCACATTTTGTACAAAAACAAACAAAAGGTCATCAATTTAAAACAATTAGACACAAACGAAATTAAATTATCTATATTACAGCATTATAATTACATTGTACCTGGTGTGTACTGAATTATACAGCCGTAATATCAATTAATTAATCAGTCAAACTTTATTTACACAGCGATTTTCATACAAATAATGCAACACAAAGCGATTATATCCACATTTAAGGTGACCAGACGTCCCTGTTTTGAGCCTGTGTCCCCTGTCCCAGCAGATTTATACAAAAAACACAAATTTGTCCCAGTTTTATACAAGAAATGTCCCCAGTGTCTCTATTTTAGACCATTTTCTAATCCTGAAACAGTAAAGAGAGACAAAAACTGACATTTGTTTGGGTAAAATACAGAAAAGCTGCTTAAAAACGACCAAAACACAAAGAAAATATGACTTTATTGATTCACGTTTGTCATGAATGGGCCGAAGTTGAACAGTTTTCCTTAATTTCTCACTCAATTCACAATTTTATTATTAAAAACAAACACAAACTGAGGAAATCCCAGTTTTTTATTTTGAAATTCTGCTCACTCTGTTCATATTTATATATATATTTTTTTTTACAGGGTCATTTACACTGAGCTGCTCACTGGTCAAGACTAAAAAGGGAAGTTCCAGGTTGAGTTTAAAAGTGCCTCAGACAGGTTTTCATGTTTGTTTAATGATTATTTTGTGTTTTTTTAGCGGGTCAGCTCCAGTCGTGAATATTTATTATAATTTCGAGTGACAGATTGAGGAAAAGTTGTAAAGAAAAGAACAAAAATAGAGTAAACGGGGGTGAGTTCTAAAGCTGAATCAGCGCAGCAGGAGTTGGCTAAGGAGGAGGTGTCTGGGGAGAGGGAAGTCTTGAGTTTCTCTGTTTACACTGATGTTTTCACAACCAAACCCGAGATAAAGAGTCAAAAGATGAATTAATAATCATGGAACAAAACTCAGACGGCGACGCATTGTTGAATCCAGCGTCTCTTTTCTGTTTTGTTCCGAGTTTCATCAAATATTTGTCGTTTTCTTTTGTTTTTGTTGCGTTTGTGACGCGCTGCACGTTTAAATGGAGCTGAAAAACCTGTTGTGTTAATCTGCAGCGCCCTCTGCTGGACAAACTCTCATACTACAACACTGAAGAAAATAAAACATGGATCTGCGAGAAAAACTAACATAACTAATATTTTATTTAAAATATGTTTCAAATAATTTATAAACTGCCCAACATTTTTTATTATTATTATTATTATTATTATTATTTTATATATTTATTTTTTTAATTTAAAGTAACTGTCTCTTAATCTTGGAAAAATCTATGGAAAAAATAAATGGAAAATTAACTGGTTTAGTCCTGGTTTAGTCCTGGTTTAGTCCTGGTTTAGTCCTGGTTCAGTCCTGGTTTAGTCCTGGTTTAGTCCTGGTTTAGTCCTGTTTGGGCCTTGGTTTAGTCCTGGTTCAGTCCTGGTTCTGGTTGGGTCTTGGTTTGTTGACGGTGGCGTACAGGGCTGTGGGATCAGGGGCAGGTGGGGCAGGTGAGGCAGGTGGGGCAGGTGGGGCACAGGTGGAGGTGGAGCAGGTCACGTCGCTGTAGATCACGGTGGAGTAAAAGTCCTCGTCCGTGACCTGAAACAGAAGGAGTGTGGAGTTTAAAAACACAGTGGAGCACTTCCTGTATCACCACATGATGACATCACGAGGTGGAGCAGAGAAGAACTCGTGTTAAATGTGCAGAGTTTGTGTTAAACATGTGAATGAAACAAAACACGAGTCCAGGTCTGTGTGACGGGGAACCAGATCAGAACAGAGCCGAGGATTATGGGACATAAAAATCAATTTAAACAGGGATGAAAGTGAAAGTGAAAGTGAAAGTAAACCTAAAACTGAAAAAGAAACCAAGACCGAGACAAGACCAAGTCCAAGTGCTTTCAAAACCGAGTCCAAGTACCTTCAAGACTGAAACAAGACCGAGACAAGACCGAGACAAGACCGAGTCCAAGCTCCTTCAAGACTGAGTCCAAGTGCCTTTAAGAGCGAGACTGAGACTGAGTCCAAGCACCTTCAAAACCAAGTCCAAGTGCCTTCAAGACCGAGACAAAACCAAGACAAGACTCAGTCCAAGCTTCTTCAAAACCGAGACAAGACCGAAACCATAAAAAAGCCCGGTCTCGGTCTCAGGACGGGTCTTGGTCTCAGGACAGGTCTTGGTCTCAGGACGGGTCTTGGTCTCAGGACAGGTCTTGGTCTCAGGACGGGTCTTGGTCTCAGGACGGGTCTTGGTCTCAGGACGGGTCTTGGTCTTCAGGACCGGTCTTGGTCTCAGGACGGGTCTTGGTCTCAGGACCAGTCTTGGTCTCAGGACGGGTCTTGGTCTCAGGACCAGTCTTGGTCTCAGGACGGGTCTTGGTCTCAGGACCAGTCTTGGTCTCAGGACGGGTCTTGGTCTCAGGACCGGTCTTGGTCTCAGGACGGGTCTTGGTCTCAGGACGGGTCTTGGTCTCAGGACGGGTCTTGGTCTCAGGACGGGTCTTGGTCTCAGGACCGGTCTTGGTCTCAGGACCGGTCTTGGTCTCAGTACTAGTCTGAAGGTCGTTGTTAAAGTGGTTGAGGTGAAAGTCTCAGCGTCTCTGAAACGTTCGATGTTCGTGTTTATTTTTATAACATGTGGATGTTTTAAAGCTGCACTGTGGAACATTCCTGGTCTTCCACCTGCCGGTCTCCATGGAGATGTTACTGCTTTGTCTGTAAAGTTCCACATTACGGCTTTAAACATGTGATGTGTGACCGGAGCAGGAGGCGTCTCCATGGAGATACCAGGTGAGTTTAAAGCCGCACTGTGGAACATCCCAGAAGAAAGAAGCAGCAGCAGCGTCTCCATGGAGACGAGCGACTGGAGTCTGCAGGGTTCTGTAGCTCTCACCGGGTCGCTCCGGGTCGCTCCGGTCTGGTCCGGTCCGGTCTGGAACATGACGGTGGTGTAGTGAAGCTCCTCCTCCTGTGGAACATCATCATGAACATCATCAGTTTGCATGTTCTGCCCGTGTCTCTGAGTCTGCGTCAGTGGCAGGTTTTTGTTTTGTTTTTTGGTTTTTTTAATATGTATTTTTTTTCTCTTTAAATTAATACATTTCCTTTTTTTTCCTAATAAACGATAAACCTTTGTGCCTTCGTTAATGTTAGTATTAGTTTTAACGACCATCATCGAAAAACAAAATGTCCTCACTTTTTATTTAATTCTCGTTGTTGTTTGTTTCGCACGATCATAAACGATCAACTTTTTCACCTTCGTTAACATTATTATTAGTTTGCACGACCATAAACAAGGGAAAATAAATAATAAATAAACAAATAAATAAAATTAAATAAAAACGGTTTTGCTGAACCACTGGGTTAGTCCTGGTTTAGTCCTGGTTTAGTCCTGGTTTAGTCCTGGTTTAGACCTGGTTTAGTCCTGGTTTAGTTCTGGTTTAGTCCTGGTTTAGTCCTGGTTTAGTTCTGGTTTAGTCCTGGTTTAGTTCTGGTTTAGTCCTGGTTTAGTCCTGGTTTAGTCCTGGTTTTCTAGATATTTTTTTGACTCTGAATCCAGCTGTAATTGAATAAACATAAAGTCGAGTTGTTTAAAGTCACACTGTGGAACATTCCAGTCAGAGCAGTGACGTCTCCATAGAAACGAGCAGGTGACCGACCCCCAACCAGAAAAGTTCCACAGCGCAGCTTTAAAGGTTGTATGGAGGATTTTTTTTTTTGTTTCAAACTGTCAGTCAAAGATTAAAATACCATCACAGAGACGCAGCAGCTTTGTAATTATGACCAAAAAAAAAATAATGAAAATCTATCAACTGTGGACGTGTTGAGGCCAGATAAACATCAGCCAATAGAAAACGAGGCTCCCTCATTTTCTATTGGCTGTTGGGTTGTCAATCAAACTCCCTAGTGTAACTGACTCGTCGGAGCGCGGGGATTACGTGGTTTATGCAGCGGTTCTTAGAGGCTTTTTCGAACTGTCGCTTCCTCGCATTTCGCACAAAGTTTGTCGTGACGGCGGACGAGAATCCACGACCGGTTCGCCGCAAAAGAAAGTCCGTTTTTGAGGTCGCTGAAAGAAGAAGAGAAGAGGAAAAGGAGCAAAGCCAAACTGAGGTGATTCTTGGAGATCTCGTCCAGCGATGGCGCGACCGAAGCAGACGAAGGGTCTAAAAAGTGACGCGTCGGTCGCTGAATTACTTCTAGACAGGAAACTTCAACAGTGATTCTGAACGCGCACGAGGACTGTCGCTGTGTTTCTCTTCCTTAAAAAAATCCTCTATACAACCTTTAAGGATACTTACATTCCTTTTGTCCCTCTGAGTTTGATTTGCTGAAATAAACCAGAGGAAAATCAAATGTTCAAACAATTTCTGCACGTTTCAAAATATAAAAAATATTTCAGACGATTTTTTTCAGAATTTTAGAATTTTACCTTTACATTTGCACAAGAGGATTATGACGAACAGAAGAGACACGAGCGCGACTCCCAGACCTGCGATCAAACCCGACAACACTGCAGAAACAAAAAAAACACTTCAGGTCGACCAGAGGAACAAATCTGGGACAAAATCTCTCCAAAGACTTTTTTTTTTTTTTTTTACTGATTATTTAATATGAAATGTTGAGGTTCTGTTGGTGGGAAAAAATCATCACAGATTCACTGATTTTGGTTGGATTTTTATCTTTTTTTCTGTGGATAATACAGTTTACAGTTTGAAGAAAAGAACGGCAGATCGGCTGATGTCAAGACTTTGGGGATTTGATGCCAATGAGGTAAAGATGAAAATATTGGAAAAAAGTGGAAAAAAACCCACGCCTTTTTTTTGCATTAAATTGAGCCAAAATCATGTAAAAATGTGTTTTAAGAATTATTTTTTCACTGAATGTCATCGCCACATGTTCTTTGCATCTGGAATGCGTTTATTGACAGCTCACCCAACCCTCGGAGGATTTGAGGAAATTTTTAATTTTTCTAAATTTTCTCTAAAAAAAAAAAAACACAAATAAAACACAAATTAAAAAAAAAAATTAAAAATATGGCAATGACAATGTCAAGTTCAACCCATTTTTGAGACTTTGGCTCCCCGACTATAAACATGATTTCATCCAAATAAGAGTGTGTTATTTTATTTGTATTTGTCGTCATGGTAACAGTAAAAAAAATGGCCAAAATTAGGTGTGTGTGTGTGAAAGTGTGTGTGTGTGTGTGTGTGTGTGTGTGTGTGTAGTGTGTGTGTGTGTGTGTGTGTGTGTGTGTGTGTGTGTGTGTGTGTGTGTGTGTGTGTGTGTGTGTGTGTGTGTGTGTGTGTGTATGTGTGTGTGTGTGTGTGTGTGTGTGTGTGTGTGTGTGTGTGTGTGTGTGTGTAGTGTGTGTGTGTGTGTGTGTGTGTGTGTGTGTGTGTGTGTGTGTGTGTGTGTGTGTGTGTGTGTGTGTGTGTGTGTGTGTGTGTGTCTCGTACCTTTGACCCTGATGAGTGGTCTGGTTCGGGCCTCAGGTCGGGCCTCAGGTCGTGTTGTGTTTGAAGTTTTGAGGCTCGCAGAGGTTTTGGAGGAAGTTGAGTTATTCTGTGTTTTGTTGCAGGTTTGTACGACGCCGCACAGAAAATACTTGAAACCAAAACTGTCTGAAAATTCAAGAAAAAAATACAAAAGTGATTTAAAGAAACATTTTTATTTTCCTGTGAGGAGCTCGAGTTCAGTTTGATTCGACTCTGAATCGAGTAACAAAACTTCAGACAGAACAGTGCCTCCTCCAGGCCCCGCCCTCCTCCAGACCCCGCCCTCCTCCAGACCCCGCCCTCCTCCAGACCCCGCCTCCTCCAGACCCCGCCCTCCGCCTCCAGACCCCGCCCCTTCTCCAGGCCCCGCCCTCCTCCAGACCCCGCCCTCCTTCAGACCCCGCCCCTCCTCCAGACCCCGCCCTCCTCCAGACCCCGCCCTCCGCCTCCAGACCCGCCCCTTCTCGAGGCCCCGCCCTCCTCCAGACCCCGCCCTCCTTCAGACCCCGCCCCTCCTCCGACCCCGCCCTCCTCCAGACCCCGCCCTCCTCCAGACCCCGCCCTCCGTCCTCACCGGGCAGTTGGAGGTGGAGCTCCTTCTTCTTCTTCGTGTGCAGATCCACGACTGTGCACTTCAGTTTTCTCTGTCCAAGATTCTTAATCCACTGGTTTTTTTTGTAGTCGCGCATCATTTCAGACGTGACAGAAAACCTGTGGAGCTCTGGAGACGACAGGAAGCAGCTCCAGGTCCCAGCACCACCAACCTGCTGAGCTGTGGAAGGAGCAGATACGACACGAGTTGGACCTTCACTTCACTGGGACCTTGTGTTCTTTCCATGTCCATCCATTTCCCAACTCCACCCAGTGACTTCAGCAGCTCAAAGTCCTACAGACCCAAAGTCCTACAGACCCAAAGTCCTACAGACCCAAAGTCCTACAAACCCAAAGTCCTACAGACCCAAAGTCCTACAAACCCAAAGTCCTACAAACCCAAAGTCCTACAGACCCAAAGTCCTACAAACCCAAACAAACCCAAAGTCCTACAGACCCAAAGTCCTACAAACCCAAAGTCCTACAGACCCAAAGTCCTACAAACCCAAAGTCCTACAGACCCAAAGTCCTACAGACCCAAAGTCCTACAGACCCAAAGTCCTACAAACCCAAAGTCCTACAGACCCAAAGTCCTACAGACCCAAAGTCCTACAAACCCAAAGTCCTACAGACCCAAAGTCCTACAAACCCAAAGTCCTACAGACCCAAAGTCCTACAGGCCCAAAGTCCTACAGACCCAAAGTCCTACAGGCCCAAAGTCCTACAAACCCAAAGTCCTACAGACCCAAAGTCCTACAGACCCAAAGTCCTACAAACCCAAAGTCCTACAAACCCAAAGTCCTACAGACCCAAAGTCCTACAGACCATGACTCTGAGCTCTGACTCTGCAGAGGCTCAGACTAGAGCCACTGCTCCTCCACCTCCAGAAGAACCACAGAGTTTTACCCAGAACCTCCCTCATGAAGGTCCTCGTGTGTGAAGAAACAGAGTTTTACCTTTGACCAGACTCAGAGAGACTTTGTGCAGGAGCTTTGAGTCTGGTCCAGGGCCGTGACAGAAATACCAGCCCACGTCTTTGTCCATCACAGCATAAAACTGTAGGCCACAGTTCTTCATCAAGCTGAACCTGGGGATGACGTTTTTCTTCTTGCTCAGAGACATGTTCACCGGGGCTGAGGCCTTCAGACCCTGAAACCTCCAGGAAATGTCACAACAGTTGAAGTTCTTCATACCAGAACACGGGAGCTGAGCTTCACCATCAAATTTAGAGACGACAGAGTGAGAGGCTCCACCTGAGAAAACCAGAACAAAACAGAAAACAAGAAGAAATGTTTTTAAAGCAGCAACTCTGACCCCTGACCCCTGACCCCTGACCCTCTGACCTCTGACCCTGACCTCTGACCTCTGACCTCTGACCCCTGACCTCTGACCCCTGTGGATCCTTCTGGTCTGTGACATTTTAAATCTCAATTTTGATCAAATTTTCTTTAATTTTAATGAAGAAACAAAAGCAACAACATCAGTGTTAGAAAAATGTGGAGTCAAATGAAGCTGATGTATGAACCAGGACTAAACCAGAACTAAACCAGGTCTAAACCAGAACTAAACCAGGACTAAACCAGGACTGAACCAGGACTGAACCAGGACTAAACCAGGACTGAACCAGGACTGAACCAGGACTAAACCAGGACTGAACCAGGACTGAACCAGGACTGAACCAGGCTGTGGGTCTCTCCAGCTTCAGAGGGTCAGTAGCTCATGGAGAAAGATCTGAATTCTGTTTTAAAACCTTCCAGAAAATTTCCTCAGGTTGTAAAAATATAGAAAATCTGAATTTAATGAAGATTTAAACCAACAAAAAAACACAAACTGAAATTAAACAATAAAAAATCTATAAACACAAACCCTGATCTTTGCAGAAACTCACAGAAACTGACCCACCCCTGGTGTTTGATTGTTTATTGTCTTTTCCTTGTTTGTGCAGTGACACTAAATGTTCCTCGTCTTTCAGGATGTTGCAGGTTTCAGTTTGACTTGTGGTTTAGTTTCACCACAGATTTTTGCAGACGAACTGCAAACTTCCTCATGACGCACGTCACCTCCTCCACACTTCACCTCCTCCCACTTCACCTCCTCCACACTTCACCTCCTCCACACTTCACCTCCTCCACACTTCACCTCCTCCTCCTCATCTTCATCTTCTCTTCATCTCCTTCATGTTTGCACCAGTGTCAGTGTTATTTTGTAGATTTGTAAAAGTGTTTTAGTGTTTTTGTGTTTTGTGTTTTTGTGTTTTTGTGTTTTTGTGTTTTAGTGTTTTTGTGTTTTTTGTGTTTTGTGTTTTAGTGTTTTCAGTCCCTCCTCTCTGTGGTTAAACCCACCGCCCTGAACAGAAACTCTGACCCCTGTGACCCTGTGAACTTCTGCTGTAGTAGTTACAGAAGTAGTAGTTATAGTACTTCTGTTATAGTTGTTTTGTCCTTAGTGTGTACTGTAGTACTGTAGTACTGTAGTACTGTAGTACTGTAGTAGTAGTACTGTAGTACTGTAGTACTGTAGTACTGTAGTAAGTCCTGTAGTACTGTAGTACTGTACTGTAGTACTGTAGTACTGTAGTACTGTAGTACTGTAGTACTGTAGTACTGTAGTACTGTAGTACTGTAGTACTGTAGTCCTGTAGTCCTGTAGTACTGTAGTACTGTAGTACTGTAGTACTGTAGTACTGTAGTACTGTAGTACTGTAGTACTGTAGTACTGTAGTACTGTACTGTAGTACTGTAGTACTGTAGTACTGTAGTACTGTAGTACTGTAGTACTGTAGTCCTGTAGTACTGTAGTACTGTAGTACTGTAGTACTGAAGTCCTGTAGTACTGTAGTACTGTAGTACTGTAGTACTGTAGTACTGTAGTACTGTAGTACTGTAGTACTGTAGTCCTGTAGTACTGTAGTACTGTAGTCCTGTAGTACTGTAGTACTGTACTGTAGTCTGTAGTACTGTAGTACTGTAGTACTGTAGTACTGTACTGTAGTCCTGTAGTACTGTAGTACTGTAGTACTGTAGTACTGTAGTACTGTAGTACTGTAGTACCTGTAGTACTGTAGTACTGTAGTAGTCTGTAGTACTGTAGTACTGTAGTCTGTAGTACTGTGTAGTCCTGTAGTACTGTAGTCCTGTAGTACTGTAGTACTGTAGTACTGTAGTACTGTAGTACTGTAGTACTGTAGTCCTGTAGTACTGTAGTACTGTAGTACTGTAGTACTGTAGTACTGTAGTACTGTAGTACTGTAGTACTGTAGTACTGTAGTACTGTAGTACTGTAGTACTGTACTGTAGTACTGTAGTACTGTAGTACTGTAGTACTGTAGTACTGTAGTACTGTAGTACTGTAGTACTGTAGTACTGTAGTACTGTAGTACTGTAGTACTGTAGTACTGTAGTACTAGTACTGTAGTACTGTAGTACTGTAGTAGTCCTAGTACTGTAGTACTGTAGTACTGTAGTACTGTAGTACTGTAGTACTGTAGTAGTAGTCCTGTAGTACTGTAGTACTGTAGTACTGTAGTACTGTAGTACTGTAGTACTGTAGTACTGTAAGTCCTGTAGTACTGTAGTACTGTAGTACTGTAGTACTGTAGTACTGTAGTACTGTAGTACTGTAGTACTGTAGTCCTAGTAGTCCTGTAGTACTGTAGTACTGTAGTACTGTAGTACTGTAGTACTGTAGTCCTGTAGTCCTGTAGTACTGTAGTACTGTAGTACTGTAGTACTGTAGTACTGTAGTACCTGTAGTACTGTAGTCCTGTAGTACTGTAGTACTGTAGTACTGTAGTACTGTAGTACTGTAGTACTGTAGTACTGTAGTACTGTAGTACTGTAGTACTGTAGTACTGTAGTACTGTAGTACTGTAGTACTGTAGTACTGTAGTACTGTAGTACTGTGGTACTGTAGTACTGTAGTACTGTAGTACTGTAGTACTGTAGTACTGTAGTACTGTAGTACTGTAGTACTGTAGTACTGTAGTACTGTAGTACTGTAGTACTGTAGTACTGTAGTACTGTAGTACTGTAGTACTGTAGTACTGTAGTACTGTAGTACTGTAGTACTAGTAGTAGTACTGTAGTACTGTAGTACAGTACTGTAGTACTGTAGTACTGTAGTACTGTAGTACTGTAGTACTGTAGTACTGTAGTACTGTAGTACTGTAGTACTGTAGTACTGTAGTACTGTAGTACTGTAGTACTGTAGTACTGTAGTACTGTAGTACTGTAGTACTGTAGTACTGTAGTACTGTAGTACTGTAGTACTGTAGTACTGTAGTACTGTAGTACTGTAGTACTGTAGTCCTGTAGTACTGTAGTACTGTACTGTAGTACTGTAGTCCTGTAGTACTTTGTTGTACTCTGATGTTCTGTGACAGTTTGGTTTGATTCCTTTTGGTTAAACCTGATCTGGGGTCAGATCTGTGAGACTCACCAGGGTCTGGGCAGGACTTGAATGGACACCTCAGGTCCCTCGGGTCCCTCGGGTCCCTCGGGTCCCTCAGGTCAGATGTTTAATGAACTCTCTCTGTCGTTCAGATAAATGTCATGATTCGTTCATTTAAATGTTTGAAAATGAAAGTCGTTAAATCTGGACGTTGCTCCAACAGACGAGAAACAGAAAAGTGTGAGAAGTTTAATCTTCAGTCAGTTTCACTCTGTGGGTGTTAAACGACATATTCAACACATCTTTTTGAATCTTGAACGTGGATCTGCAGCGAGGCTCAGGTCACAGGGACATTTCTCTTCACTGTCACAGTTTTCAGGTTTTTTTGTCAGAAAACTGGACACACGTCTCAAAGTCCCTCAAGCTTCGTCCTCATCAAAGTCACGTTGAGAAAAGTCAGAACAAACATCTCCACCTGACCTGAGTGTGAAGCCGCGATGACACGACTGGAAAACTCACACTCTGATTTTGTGTGAAATTTTTGCAAAAGTCGATTTTCAATGAATAAAAATCCTGAAGCTGAAACTGAGACGTCAGAATAAAAACAAAACCAGAGGAAAAGAACCAGAACCTTTTGTTTTTCATTTCAGCTGAAACTGAGTCTGAAACTTTTAACTCTGTTTGAGTTTCTGTGTCTCGAAAATCTGTTTTAAACATCTGAGTCCCGACAAGTCAGTTCTGGACTTTAGTAGTAGTAGTAGTAGTAGTAGTAGTAGTAGTAGTAGTAGTAGTAGTAGTACTTGTAGTAGTAGTAGTAGTAGTAGTAGTACTTGTAGTAGTAGTAGTACTTGTAGTAGTAGTAGTAGTAGTAGTAGTACTTGTAGTAGTTGAAGTATAAACAGTGTTTCTGTTATTGAAGTGACACAAAGTGAAATGTAAAATCTTGATCAGATCCTGGATCAGTTTTCAGAGTCGTGTCCCTCACCTGAGTCCAGAAGAAACATGAAGGTCAACAGAGTCACAACGCTCCACCTCCACCTCCACCTCCGCATCTGCACCTCCATCTTCACCTCCATCTTCACCTCCGTCTGCACCTCCATCTGCACCTCCGTCTTCTGTTTCTTCTTCTGTTTCTTCTTCTGTTTCTTCTGTTTCTTCTTCTGTTTCTTCTTCTGTTTCGTCTTCTGTTTCGTCTGAGTCGTTCACTTCCTCTCTTCTTCTGCACCTCGTTTGCTCGTCTGTGATTTTATATAAATTTCACTTTTATGTTTGTGGCTCTGAGTTTCTCCTCCCCTTTGCTCCCTGTGCTAAGTCCCTCCCCCTTCAGAGCACTGGTTTTTTGTCATGTTTTTGTGTTTTCATGGACAGTTGTTGCGCGGGAGAATGTGGGCGGAGCCTCGTACAGACTCGTACTTTTAACCGTGAGGAGGGTTAGAACAGGGCCCAGGAGAGATCTCTAGATGACTCAGACATGCATGGATGAGTCTGAAACCTTCTTCAGACGTTTGTGACGACTCATCAAACGTGAGAATACTCAGAGTTTAGAGTTTAAACAAGAGAATACTCAGAGTTTAAATGTGAGAATACTCAGAGTTTAGAGTTTAAACAAGAGAATACTCAGAGTTTAGAGTTTAAACAAGAGAATACTCAGAGTTTAGAGTTTAAACACGAGAATACTCAGAGTTTAGAGTTTAAACAAGAGAATACTCAGAGTTTAGAGTTTAAACAAGAGAATACTCAGAGTTTAAATGTGAGAATACTCAGAGTTTAGAGTTTAAACAAGAGAATACTCAGAGTTTAGAGTTTAAACGTGAGAATACTCAGAGTTTAGAGTTTAAACAAGAGAATACTCAGAGTTTAGAGTTTAAACAAGAGAATACTCAGAGTTTAAATGTGAGAATACTCAGAGTTTAGAGTTTAAACAAGAGAATACTCAGAGTTTAGAGTTTAAACGTGAGAATACTCAGAGTTTAGAGTTTAAACAAGAGAATACTCAGAGTTTAGAGTTTAAAGACGAGAATACTCAGAGTTTAGAGTTTAAACAAGAGAATACTCAGAGTTTAAATGTGAGAATACTCAGAGTTTAGAGTTTAAACAAGAGAATACTCAGAGTTTAGAGTTTAAACGTGAGAATACTCAGAGTTTAGAGTTTAAACAAAGAGAATACTCAGAGTTTAGAGTTTAAACAAGAGAATACTCAGAGTTTTAGAGTTTAAACGTGAGAATACTCAGAGTTTAGAGTTTAAATGTGAATACTCAGAGTTTAGAGTTTAAAAGAGAATACTCAGAGTTTAAATGTGAGAATACTCAGAGTTTAGAGTTTAAACAAGAGAATACTCAGAGTTTAGAGTTTAAACGTGAGAATACTCAGAGTTTAGAGTTTAAACAAGAGAATACTCAGAGTTTAGAGTTTAAACGTGAGAATACTCAGAGTTTAGAGTTTAAATGTGACAATACTCAGAGTTTAGAGTTTAAACACGAGAATACTCAGAGTTTAGAGTTTAAACGTGAGAATACTCAGAGTTTAGAGTTTAAATGTGACAATACTCAGAGTTTAGAGTTTAAACACGAGAATACTCAGAGTTTAGAGTTTAAACGTGAGAATACTCAGAGTTTAGAGTTTAAACACGAGAATACTCAGAGTTTAGAGTTTAAACACGAGAATACTCAGAGTTTAGAGTTTAAACAAGAGAATACTCAGAGTTTAAATGTGAGAATACTCAGAGTTTAGAGTTTAAACGTGAGAATACTCAGAGTTTAGAGTTTAAACAAGAGAATACTCAGAGTTTAGAGTTTAAACACGAGAATACTCAGAGTTTAGAGTTTAAACAAGAGAATACTCAGAGTTTAGAGTTTAAACAAGAGAATACTCAGAGTTTAGAGTTTAAATGTGACAATACTCAGAGTTTAGAGTTTAAACAAGAGAATACTCAGAGTTTAAATGTGAGAATACTCAGAGTTTAGAGTTTAAACGTGAGAATACTCAGAGTTTAGAGTTTAAACACGAGAATACTCAGAGTTTAGAGTTTAAACACGAGAATACTCAGAGTTTAGAGTTTAAACAAGAGAATACTCAGAGTTTAGAGTTTAAACAAGAGAATACTCAGAGTTTAAATGTGAGAATACTCAGAGTTTAGAGTTTAAACAAGAGAATACTCAGAGTTTAGAGTTTAAACGTGAGAATACTCAGAGTTTAGAGTTTAAATGTGACAATACTCAGAGTTTAGAGTTTAAACAAGAGAATACTCAGAGTTTAAATGTGAGAATACTCAGAGTTTAGAGTTTAAACAAGAGAATACTCAGAGTTTAGAGTTTAAACAAGAGAATACTCAGAGTTTAGAGTTTAAACGTGAGAATACTCAGAGTTTAGAGTTTAAACAAGAGAATACTCAGAGTTTAGAGTTTAAACGTGAGAATACTCAGAGTTTAGAGTTTAAACAAGAGAATACTCAGAGTTTAGAGTTTAAACACGAGAATACTCAGAGTTTAGAGTTTAAACGTGAGAATACTCAGAGTTTAGAGTTTAAAACACGAGAATACTCAGAGTTTAGAGTTTAAACAAGAGAATACTCAGAGTTTAAATGTGAGAATACTCAGAGTTTAGAGTTTAAACAAGAGAATACTCAGAGTTTAGAGTTTAAACAAGAGAATACTCAGAGTTTAGAGTTTAAACACGAGAATACTCAGAGTTTAGAGTTTAAACAAGAGAATACTCAGAGTTTAGAGTTTAAACACGAGAATACTCAGAGTTTAGAGTTTAAACAAGAGAATACTCAGAGTTTAGAGTTTAAACGTGAGAATACTCAGAGTTTAGAGTTTAAATGTGACAATACTCAGAGTTTAGAGTTTAAACAAGAGAATACTCAGAGTTTAAATGTGAGAATACTCAGAGTTTAGAGTTTAAACAAGAGAATACTCAGAGTTTAGAGTTTAAACAAGAGAATACTCAGAGTTTAGAGTTTAAACGTGAGAATACTCAGAGTTTAGAGTTTAAACAAGAGAATACTCAGAGTTTAGAGTTTAAACGTGAGAATACTCAGAGTTTAGAGTTTAAACAAGAGAATACTCAGAGTTTAGAGTTTAAACACGAGAATACTCAGAGTTTAGAGTTTAAACGTGAGAATACTCAGAGTTTAGAGTTTAAACACGAGAATACTCAGAGTTTAGAGTTTAAACAAGAGAATACTCAGAGTTTAAATGTGAGAATACTCAGAGTTTAGAGTTTAAACAAGAGAATACTCAGAGTTTAGAGTTTAAACAAGAGAATACTCAGAGTTTAGAGTTTAAACACGAGAATACTCAGAGTTTAGAGTTTAAACAAGAGAATACTCAGAGTTTAGAGTTTAAACAAGAGAATACTCAGAGTTTAGAGTTTAAACATGAGAATACTCAGAGTTTAGAGTTTAAACAAGAGAATACTCAGAGTTTAGAGTTTAAACAAGAGAATACTCAGAGTTTAGAGTTTAAACGTGAGAATACTCAGAGTTTAGAGTTTAAACAAGAGAATACTCAGAGTTTAGAGTTTAAACAAGAGAATACTCAGAGTTTAGAGTTTAAACACGAGAATACTCAGAGTTTAGAGTTTAAACAAGAGAATACTCAGAGTTTAAATGTGAGAATACTCAGAGTTTAGAGTTTAAACAAGAGAATACTCAGAGTTTAGAGTTTAAACACGAGAATACTCAGAGTTTAGAGTTTAAACAAGAGAATACTCAGAGTTTAAATGTGAGAATACTCAGAGTTTAGAGTTTAAACAAGAGAATACTCAGAGTTTAGAGTTTAAACAAGAGAATACTCAGAGTTTAGAGTTTAAATGTGAGAATACTCAGAGTTTAGAGTTTAAACACGAGAATACTCAGAGTTTAGAGTTTAAACGTGAGAATACTCAGAGTTTAGAGTTTAAACGTGAGTCTGTTTATATAAACGGACAGAGCTCTCTCTCTCTCTCTCTCTCTCTGGCCGCTGTGTTTCAAACAGGAAGTGATCACGGCTGCACTTTGGCTCCATCGACTCTGGCTCCAGTTCACTTTGTGCTGGAACTCGAGGACAACAGGTTTGAGGACACCTGATCTCTAAACCTGATCTCTAAACCTGATCTCTAAACCTGATCTCTAAACCTGATCTCTAACCTGATCTCTAACCCTGATCTCTAGACCTGATCTCTAAACCTGATCTCTAAACCTGATCTCTAAACCTGATCTCTAGACCTGATCTCTAGACCTGATCTCTAAAGCTGATCTCTAGACCTGATCTCTAAACCTGATCTCTAACGCTGATCTCTAGACCTGATCTCTAGACCTGATCTCTAAACCTGATCTCTAGACCTGATCTCTAAACCTGATCTCTAAACCTGATCTCTAAACCTGATCTCTAAACCTGATCTCTAAACCTGATCTCTAAACCTGATCTCTAAACCTGATCTCTAAACCTGATCTCTAAACTGATCTCTAACCTGATCTCTAAACCTGATCTCTAAAGCTGATCTCTAAAGCTGATCTCTAAAGCAGGTGTTTCTCGGGCTCAGACTCACATTCTTCCAGTGAGCGCGGCCGCCTCTCCACAGATCTGACCCGTGACCTGCACTGGTTTGTTTTGTGACTCTCGGCTCCTTTTGTCGTCAACCATCTGCTTCTCCTGCTTCATTCACTTTATAACAAAGGTCCAACCCTCCTCCCCCAGACCCCAGACCCTGAACCAAAACCCGGTCTGGTCCCTGGTCTGGTCCCTGGTCTGGTCTGGTCTCTGGTCTCTGGTCTCTGGTCTGGTCTGGTCTGGTCTCTGGTCTGGTCTCAGTCTGGTCTGGTCTCTGGTCTCTGGTCTGGTCTGGTCTGGTCTGGTCTGGTCTGGTCTCTGGTCTGGTCTCTGGTCTGGTCTGGTCTGGTCTGGTCTCTGGTCTGGTCTGGTCTGGTCTGGTCTGGTCTGGTCTGGTCTGGTCTGGTCTGGTCTGGTCTGGTCTGGTCTGGTCTGGTCTGGTCTGGTCTGGTCTGGTCTCTGGTCTGGTCTCTGGTCTGGTCTGGTCTGGTCTGGTCTGGTCTGGTCTGGTCTGGTCTGGTCTGGTCTGGTCTGGTCTGGTCTCTGGTCTGGTCTCTGGTCTGGTCTGGTCTGGTCTGGTCTCTGGTCTGGTCTGGTCTGGTCTGGTCTCTGGTCTGGTCTGGTCTGGTCTGGTCTGGTCTGGTCTGGTCTGGTCTGGTCTGGTCTGGTCTGGTCTCTGGTCTGGTCTGGTCTGGTCTGGTCTCTGGTCTGGTCTGGTCTGGTCTGGTCTGGTCTGGTCTCTGGTCTGGTCTGGTCTGGTCTGGTCTGGTCTGGTCTCTGGTCTGGTCTGGTCTGGTCTGGTCTGGTCTGGTCTGGTCTGGTCTCTGGTCTGGTCTGGTCTGGTCTCTGGTCTGGTCTGGTCTGGTCTCTGGTCTGGTCTGGTCTGGTCTGGTCTGGTCTGGTCTGGTCTGGTCTGGTCTGGTCTGGTCTGGTCTGGTCTGGTCTGGTCTGGTCTGGTCTGGTCTGGTCTGGTCTTGGTCTGGTCTGGTCTGGTCTGGTCTGGTCTGGTCTGGTCTGGTCTGGTCTCTGGTCTGGTCTCTGGTCTGGTCTCTGGTCTCTGGTCTGGTCTGGTCTGGTCTCTGGTCTCTGGTCTGGTCTGGTCTGGTCTGGTCTGGTCTGGTCTGGTCTGGTCTCTGGTCTGGTCTCTGGTCTGGTCTCTGGTCTGGTCTCTGGTCTGGTCTGGTCTGGTCTGGTCTCTGGTCTCTGGTCTCTGGTCTGGTCTGGTCTCTGGTCTGGTCTCTGGTCTGGTCTGGTCTGGTCTCTGGTCTGGTCTGGTCTGGTCTGGTCTCTGGTCTGGTCTGGTCTGGTCTCTGGTCTGGTCTGGTCTGGTCTCTGGTCTGGTCTGGTCTGGTCTGGTCTGGTCTGGTCTCTGGTCTGGTCTGGTCTGGTCTCTGGTCTCTGGTCTGGTCTGGTCTGGTCTGGTCTCTGGTCTGGTCTCTGGTCTGGTCTGGTCTGGTCTCTGGTCTGGTCTGGTCTGGTCTGGTCTGGTCTCTGGTCTCTGGTCTCTGGTCTCTGGTCTCTGGTCTGGTCTGGTCTGGTCTCTGGTCTCTGGTCTGGTCTGGTCTGGTCTGGTCTGGTCTGGTCTGGTCTCTCTGGTCTGGTCTCTCTGGTCTCTGGTCTCTGGTCTGGTCTGGTCTGGTCTCTGGTCTCTGGTCTGGTCTCTGGTCTCTGGTCTGGTCTGGTCTGGTCTGGTCTCTGGTCTGGTCTGGTCTGGTCTCTCTGGTCTCTGGTCTCTGGTCTGGTCTCTGGTCTGGTCTCTGGTCTCTGGTCTCTGGTCTTCTGGTCTCTTGTTTCTGTGGTGAGAAAAAGATGTTTTCAGTGTAAAGTTTCTCCTCCCAGAAACAAACTGAAACACGCCCAAGAAAAAGAGGAAAAAGAGGAAAAAGAGGAAAAAGAGGAAAAAGAGGAAAAAGAGTGAAAGGAACCACTGTGAAGAAGAGAGATAGAGAGAAAGAAGGAGGGAGGAGGAAAAGAGGAGAGAGAGAGAGAAAACAGGGGGAGGAAAAGAGGAGGGGGGAGAAGGAAGGAAAAGAGGAGGAGGAGGAGGGGCGAGTGACATAAACAATGGGAGGGGATAAAGAGAGAGAGAGAGAGAGAGAGAGAGAGAGAGAGAGAGCAGCTGGTTTGACAGAGTCGAGGAGCCAGAAGAAGAACAAGACCATGAAGAACACAACAAGACGAGGTACAAGACCAGGACTAAACCAGGACTAAACCAGGACTAAACCAGGACTAAACCAGGACTAAACCAGGACTAAACCAGGACTAAAACCAGGACTAAACCAGGACTAAACCAGGACTAAACCAGGACTAAACCAGGACTAAATCAGGACTAAACCAGGACTAAACCAGGACTAAACCAGGACTAAACCAGGACTGAACCAGGACTAAACCAGGACTGAACCAGGACTAAACCAGGACTAACAAGACTAAACCAGGACTAAACCAGGACTAAACCAGGACTAAACCAGGACTAAACCAGGGACTAAACCAGGACTAAACCAGGACTAAACCAGGACTAAACCAGGACTAAACCAGGACTAAACCAGGACTAAACCAGGACTAAACCAGGACTAAACCAGGACTAAACCAGGACTAAACCAGGACTGAACCAGGACTAAACCAGGACTAAACCAGGACTAAACCAGGACTAAACCAGGACTAAACCAGGACTAAACAGGACTAACCAAGACTAAACCAGGACTAAAACCAGGACTAAACCAGGACTAAACCAGGACTAAACCAGGACTAAACCAGGACTAAACCAGGACTAAAACCAGGACTAAACCAGGACTGAACCAGGACTAAACCAGGACTAAACCAGGACTGAACCAGGACTAAACCAGGACTAAACCAGGACTGAACCAGGACTAAACCAGGACTAAACCAGGACTAAACAGGACTAAACCAGGACTAAACCAGGACTAAACCAGGACTAAACCAGGACTAAACCAGGACTAAACCAGACTAAACCAGGACTAAACCAGACTAAACCAAGACTAAACCAGGACTAAACCAGGACTAAACCAGGACTAAACCAGGACTAAACCAGGACTGAACCAGGACTAAACCAGGACTAAACCAGGACTGAACCAGGACTAAACCAGGACTAAACCAGGACTAAACCAGGACTGAACCAGGACTAAACCAGGACTAAACCAGGACTAAACCAGGACTGAACCAGGACTAAACCAGGACTAAACCAGGACTGAACCAGGACTAAACCAGGACTAAAACCAGGACTAAACCAGGACTAAACAAGGACTAAACCAGGACTAAACCAGGACTGAACCAGGACTAAACAAGGACTAAACCAGGACTAAACCAGGACTAAACCAGGACTGAACCAGGAACCAGGACTGAACCAGGACTAAACCAGGACTAAAACCAGGACTAAACCAGGACTAAACCAGGACTAAACCAAGACTAAACCAGGACTAAACCAGGACTAAACCAGGACTAAACCAGGACTAAACCAGGACTGAACCAGGACTAAACCAGGACTAAACCAAGACTAAACCAGGACTAAACCAGGACTAAACCAGGACTAAACCAGGACTAAACCTAAACCAGACTAAACCAGGACTAAACCAAGACTAAACCAGGACTAAACCAGGACTAAACCAGGACTAAACCAAGACTAAACCAGACTAAACCAGGACTAAACCAGGACTGAACCAGGACAAAAAACTGGACTAAACTAGGACTAAATCAGAGGTAAATATTGGCTCCACAGGTGGACAAACAATTTCTGTTTACAAGAAAACTGGTTGGAACAAGAACTAAACCAAGACTAAAACATGGACTATAACAGGACTAAACCAGGACTAAACTTGGACTAAACCGGGACTAAAGCTTAGAAAAAAACTAAAGGACCAAAGAAAACTGAAGAACTGAACCAGGACTAAAATTTGACTAAAACTAGAGGAAAACTCACATGTGAACTGTGAACTAAACCAGGACTAAACCAGGACTAAACCAGGACTAAACCAGGACTAAACAAGGACTAAACCAGGACTGAACCAGGTCTAAACAAGGACTAAACCAAGACTAAACCAGGACTAAAAGTGGACTAAAGTGATGTCGTCAGGACGTGGAGGACGTGTCTCACCTGGTTCACGTGGATAAACAAACCCCGTTTACAGAAGAACTGGGACCAAACTGGGACCAACGGAGAACTAAACCAGGACTAAACCAGGACTAAACCAGGACTAAACCAGGACCAAAGCAAGGCAAAAACAGGATTTAAAACACGGGACTGAACTTGGACTAAAACTGGACTAAACAGGGACTAAAATTGTGTCTAAAACTGTATTAAAACAAACGCCAAACTTGCATGGAGTAAACCAGGATTCAAGGGGACTAAACCAGGACTAAAACTGGACTAAACCTGGACTAAAACCGAATTAAATCTGGACTAAAACTGGACTACATTAGTACTAAAATTGGACTAAAACAGGACTAGACCAGGACTAAACCAGGACTACAGGTTTTGAAACTGGACCCTGTGGTCTGGTCTTGTTCCCGGTCGCTCTGACTTGATGATGTCATGAGTGGAAAGAAAAATAATTGAGATTTAAACGTCGGAAAACTTGTTCTATATTTTCCTTTTTCGTTTCCCGCCGAAAGTTTAGTCACGCGGGAATGTTTACGCTAACGCTAACCACGCTAACCACGCTAACAGGCTAACACGCTAACAGGCTAACAGGCTAACAGGCTAACAGGCTAATGCTAATCTGATTAGTTTCATGGAGCTTTGTTTGTCGGCGTCACAACTGTTTATGTCTCTGTCCGATTACAGACGATTAAAAACTTTATTTATCTCCACGTGGCCGATCTGTTTGAGTCACAGACCACAGAGTAAACACTCAGGTCACTCAGGTCACTCAGGTCTCACAGGTCTCTCGGGTCACTCAGGTCACTCAGGTCTCACAGGTCACTCAGGTCTCACAGGTCACTCAGGTCACTCAGGTCACTCAGGTCTCACAGGACACTCAGGTCTCACAGGTCTCACAGGACACTCAGGTCTCACAGGTCACTCAGGTCACTCGGGTCACTCAGGTCTCACAGGTCTCACAGGACACTCAGGTCTCACAGGTCACTCAGGTCACTCGGGTCACTCAGGTCACTCAGGTCTCACAGGTCACTCAGGTCACTCAGGTCACTCAGGTCTCACAGGTCACTCAGGTCAGGGCTCGTCCAGTTGTGTATCTTTCGTCTACGTCGGCAGGAGGAGGTTTGAGCGACTTTCAACAAGTTTGGGTGTTTTTTATTTTCACACTGATCGAGGAAAAAACACAATAACACGAAGAAACAAACAAGAACAAACTGCTCAGACCACAGACCGCACACGTCCACGTTCACACGTCCACGTTCACACGTCCACGTTCACACGTCCACGTTCACACGTCCACGTTCACACGTCCACGTTCCACGTCCACTTCCACACGTCCACGTCCACGTTCACACGTCCACGTTCACACGGTCCACGTTCACACGGTCCACGTTCACACGTCCACGTTCACACGTCCACGTTCACACCGTTCACGTTCACACCGTCCACGTTCACACGTCCACGTTCACACGTCACGTTCACGGTCCACGTTCACACGGTCCACGTTCACACGTCCACGTTCACACCGTCCACGTTCACACCGTCAACGTTCACACGTCCACGTTCACACCGTCACGTTCACACGTTTTAGTCAAACTCTGGTGACGTGTCGATGAAAACTCTGTTCTGTCCGAAGGTTTTGACAATATTTTTAAAAAGCCAATAGATCAAGTTACATGTTTATTCAACATGTTTATTCAAATATTCGACTAAATGACTTTTTTTTGTGCTCCTCGTGTGTGTCAGGTCCCTCCTCGTGTGTGTCAGGTCCCTCCTCGTGTGTGTCAGGTCCCTCCTCGTGTGTGTCAGGTCCCTCCTCCTGTGTGTCAGGTCCCTCCTCCTGTGTGTCAGGTCCCTCCTCAACCCTCGTTCTGTTTCTGGACCACGAACCTGAACCAGGACTAAACCAGGACTAAACCAGGACTGAACCAGGACTGAACCAGGACTAAACCAGGACTAAACCAGGACTAAAACAATGAGGAAACAAATGAACAAATAAATATTCACGTTTTTAAAATTGTTTTTATTATTTTTTTTCCAGGTAACCATGGGAAACAGCAACAGTAACTTTGCCTGTGAGGGGGCGGAGCTTCAGTCGACACACACCTGGTGGGGGCGTGGCCACAGGGCGAGTGGGCGGAGCTACAGGAAACCCAATCAACCAATCAGGAGCCAGAATCGCACAAACAAACACCAGAAAGTGGATTTAAACGCGGATTTTCGGACAGTTTTTCCCAATAATATTTTTGAAACTTCGTGGAGAAATTCTCGGAATCATTTTGATTGGAATTGTGGAATTTCAAGCGTGAAAAATGGGAGTTTGAGCTCAGAGGAAAATTTGGAAAAATGCGAGGTAAACCTGAGCAGCTCGTGTCAGGACAGCGGGTTCGGAGAGTCCTTCCAAGTCCCGAGTCCAGTCTGGTCCCAGAGTCCGGGATCGTCCCCAGACCTGGTTTTGGACCGGGATTTTAAAGACCTCGTCGTGACCGGAGCCGAGGCCGAGAAGAAGGACGTGTTCAGGACCCGGATCAGGAAGTGGAGCGACTGGACAGGAAGTCTGAGGATCAAAAAGAGGCGGGTCCAGGTGAGGTCACGGACTCACCTGAGGGCGCGACGCTAACGGGAGGAACTGCTCTGTCTGAGGCTCAGATAGACCTGGAATAGACCTGGAATAGACCTAGAATAGACCTGGAATAGACCTGGAATAGACTTGGTTTAGATCTAGATTAACCCTAGAATAGTCCTTGAACAGTCCTGGTTTAGATCTAGTTTAGTTCTAGACTAGACCTGGAATAGATCTGGTTTAGACCTGGTTTAGTTCTAAAATAGTCCTGGAATAGACCTGGTTTAGTCCTAGATTAGTCCTGGAATAGACCTGGTTTAGATCTGATATAGTCCTAGATTAGACTTGGAATAGTCCTGTGACAGACCTAGTTCTAGAATAGACCTGGAATAGTCATGGTTTAGTCCTTGATTAGTCCTAGATTAGTCCTGGAATAGTCTTGGAATAGACCTGGAATAGACCTGGTTTAGATCTGGTTTAGTCCTAGAATAGTCCTGGAATAGACCTGGTTTAGATCTGGACTAAACTGTCTCTTCTTTCAGGATCCAGACCTCGGCAGCATCTGGTCCTTTAACCCTCTCCAGAACCAGGACAAGTCCGGACTAAACCAGGACCAGACCCAGTCCGATCTAGACCAGCACTTCAGCATCTACCAGAACTTCAGACAGGATCTAGAGTCCAAGTCCACGTTAGGATCCACGCAGACCTCCTCAGACCTGGACTCCATGGACCAGGAGGACCAGGGTCTCGGGTCCGGACCGGGACTAAACCAGGACAAGGGTCTAGACCGAGGGGTGGTCCGGAGAGCGGGCTGGATCTGGATCAAACCTCTGATCAAACTCAACAAAGACCAACTCCAACTGGTGCCGAGGAGAAAGTGGAGGAAATACTGGGTCAAACTCCGAGGTGAGACCAGGACCGGACCAGGACTGGACCAGGACTGGACCAGGACTGGACCAGGACTAAATTAAGACTTAACCAGACCAACAGGAACTTGCTCTAAATGAGAACTAAACCAGAACTAAACCAGATCTAACTGTCTCTTCTCTTCAGGTTGTTGGCTGCAGTTCTTCACGTCCCCCGGTCAGGACCAGGACCCGGACCAGGACCCGGACCAGGACCCGGACCAGGACCCGGGCCAGGACTTGGGGCAGGATGTGAGCCCTGTGATGGAGCTGCGCGTGTGGGACAGTCTGGTCCAGCCGGTCCCAGAACATCCGACCAAAGAGCACGTGTTCTGTCTGAGCAACGCCGTCGGACACGTCTACCTCCTCCAGGTGAGAACGTCTGCACGGGCTGGTCCAGACCTGGTCCAGACCTGGTCCAGACCTGGTCCAGACCTGGTCCAGACCTGGTCCAGACCTGGTCCAGACCTGGTCCAGTGCTGGTCCAGTCGTGGTCCAGTCCTGGTCCAGACCTGGTCCAGTCCTGGTCCAGACCTGGTCCAGTCCTGGTCCAGTCTGGTCCAGACCTGGTCCAGACCTGGTCCAGACCTGGTCCAGACCTGGTCCAGTCCTGGTCCAGTCCTGGTTCTTGTCCATGTGTTGAGGGACACTTGTGTGACATTTGTCCCTGGTGCAGCTGCAGATTTAAACTCGTCTCACTGGGATTTTGTCTTGGATAAAATTCCATTGAACATTCCCAACATTCCTGCAATTCCAAAGTTACGTAAGAATCCAGCGGCTCCGACCCGAGAGCCGCGACACCGAGACGAGACCGACGCTAGATAGTCCTGGTTTAGAACCTCTCCAGACCTGGTTCAGTCCTCATGTCAGTCCTGGTTTTCCTTGTTTAGTCCTGGTTTGTCCTGTTTAGTCCTGGTTTAGTCCTGTTTAGTCCTGTTTTAGTTTCCTGGTTTAGTCCTGGTTTAGTCCTGGTTTAGACCTGGTTTAGTCCTGTTTAGCCTGTTTAGCCTGGTTTAGTCCTGTTTTAGTCCTGGTTTAGTCCTGTTTTAGTCCTGGTTTAGTCCTGTTTTAGTCCTGGTTTAGACCTGGTTTAGTCCTGGTTTAGTCCTGGTTTAGTCCTGGTTTAGTCCTAGTTTTAGTCCTGGTTAGTCCTGGTTTAGTCCTGGTTTAGTCCTGGTTTAGTCCTGTTTAGTCCTGTTTAGTCCTGTTTAGTCCTGGTTTAGTCCTGGTTTTAGTCCTGTTTTAGTCCTGTTTTAGTCCTGTTTTTAGTCCTGGTTTAGTCCTGTTTAGTTGGTTTAGTCCTGGTTTAGTCCTGGTTTAGTCCTGGTCCTGGTTTAGTCCTGGTTTAGTCCTGTTTAGTTTTAGTCCTGGTTTAGTCCTGGTTTTAGTCCTGGTTTAGTCCTGGTTTAGTCCTGTTTTAGTCCTGGTTTAGTCTGGTTTAGTCCTAGTTTTTCCTGTTTAGTCCTGGTTTGTTTTAGTCCTGTCCTTTTAGTCCTGGTTTAGTCCTGGTTTAGTCCTGGTTTTAGTCCTGGTTTAGTCGCTGTTTAGTCCTGTTTTAGTCCTGTTTAGTCCCTGGTTTAGTCCTGGTTTAGTCCTGGTTTAGTCCTGGTTTTAGTCCTGGTTTAGTCCTTTTTAGTTTTTTAGTCCTGTTTTAGTCCTGTTTTAGTTTTAGTCCTGTTTAGTTTTCCCTGGTTTAGTCCTGTTTGTCCTGGTTTAGTCCTGGTTTAGTCCTGGTTTAGTCCTAGTTTAGTCCTGGTTTAGTCCTGGTTTAGTCTGTTTAGTCCTGGTTTATTCTGGTTTAGTCTGTTTAGTCCTGGTTTAGTTTAGTCCTTGTTTTTAGTCCTTGTTTAGCCTGTTTAGTCCTTTTTAGTCTGTTTAGTCCTAGTCCTTTTTAGTTTTTAGTCCTGGTTTATCCTGGTTTAGTCCTTGTTTATCCTGGTTAGTCCTGTTTAGTCCTGTTTAGTCTGGTTTAGTCCTTGGTTTAGTCCTTGTTAGTCCTGGTTTAGTCCCTGGTTTAGTCCTGGTTTAGTCCTGGTTTAGTCCTGGTTTAGTTTCCTGTTTAGTCCTGTTTTAGTCCTGGTTTTAGTCCTGGTTTAGTCCTGTTTAGTCCTGGTTTTAGTCCTGTTTAGTCCTGGTTTAGTCCTGTTTAGTCCTGTTTTTAGTCCTTTTAGTCCTTGTTTAGTCCTGGTTTAGTCCTGGTTTTAGTCCTGTTTAGTCTTGTTTAGTCTTTAGTCCTGGGTCTGGTTTTTTACTCTGTTTAGTCCTTGGGTCCTTGTTTAGTTTGTTAGTCCTGTTTAGTCCTGGTTTAGTCCTGGTTTAGTCCTGGTTTAGTTTAGTCTGGTTTAGTCCTTGTTAGTCCCCTTAGTCCTGTTTAGTCCTGGTTTAGTCCTTGTTTAGTCCTGGTTTTCCTGGTTTAGTCCTGGTTTAGTCCTGGTTTAGTCCTGGTTTGGTTTAGTCCTGGTTTTAGTTTAGTCCTGGTTTAGTTCCTGGTTTAGTCCTGGTTTAGTCCTGTTTTCCTGGTTTAGTCCTCCTTTAGTCCTGGTTTAGTGGTTTAGTCCTGGTTTTAGTCCTGGTTTAGTTTCCTTGTTTAGTCCTGGTTTAGTGGTTAGTCCTGGTTTAGTCCTGGTTTAGTTTAGTCCTAGTGGTTTAGTCCTGGTTTAGTCCTGGTTTAGTCCTGGTTTAGTCCTGGTTTAGTTCCTGGGTTTAGTCCTGGTTTAGTCCTGGTTTGTTTCCTGGTTTAGTCCCTGGGTTTAGTCCTGGTTTAGTTCCCTGGTTTAGTCCTGTTTAGTCCTGGTTTGGTTTAGTTGGTTTTCCCTGTTTAGTTTTAGTCCTGGTTTAGTCCTGGTTTAGTCCTTGTTTAGTCCTTGTTTAGTCCTGGTTTAGTCCTGGTTTAGTCCTGGTTTAGTCCTGTTTAGGTTTAGTCCTGTTTTAGTCCTGGTTTAGTCTGGTTTAGTCCTCCTCCTGGTTTAGTCCTAGTCCTGGTTTAGTCCTGGTTTAGTCCTGGTTTAGTCCTGGTTTAGTCCTGTTTAGTCCTAGCTGGTTTAGTCCTGGTTTAGTTTTCCTGGTTTAGTCCTGGTTTAGTCCTGGTTTAGTCCTCCGTACTGGGATCAGAAACACATGAGGATGAGGAGGGTCTAGACACGGGACCGGGTTCTGACACGGGGGAGGGGTTTTGGTCCGGACTTGTTTAGACCTCAGACCGGGGAGGAGTTCTTCTGCAGACTCTGGTCCAGACTGAGTCCTGGTTTAGTCCTGGTTTTGGGGGAGTCCACGTGATCCTCGATGTTACATAACACCTCTGAACCACTCCTGTTTCCTTTGATTTAGTCCTGGTCTGGTCCTGTTTTAGTCTTTAGTTTGTTTCCGGTCTTGGTCCCTTGGTCCTGGTCTGGTCCTGTTTTAGTCCTGATTTAGTTCTGGTTTAGTCCTGGTCTTGTTTTAGTCCTGGTCTTGGTCCCGGTCTTGGTCCTGGTCTTGGTCCTGTTTTAGTCCTGTTTTAGTCCTGGTCTAGTCCTGGTCTAGTCCTGGTTTAGTCCTGGTTTAGTCCTGTTTTAGTTTTGTTTTAGTCCCTGGTCTTGGTCCTGGTCTTGGTCCTGTTTTAGTCTTGGTTTAGTCCTGTTTTAGACCTGTTTTAGTCCTGGTCCTGTTTTAGTCCAGGTCCAGGTCCTGGTCCAGGTCTTGTTTTGGGGGTTTCCTTCTTGTCGTTATGTAATTCTCGTCTTTTCGTCTTCGTGCTGTTTTCCTGTTTTTGTTCTCAGACGTTTCCACGTCTGTTCAGACTCGACTCCACCACAAATCTACTCGAGTAACTTCAGGAGGAACAGAGTAAAATCTGATTTAGAATTTGAAAATCAAGAACAAAACATGAAATTCTGCACAAAAAATCTGGAGTTTTTAAAAAGACAGAAACAAAAATCATCCAGAGAATCAGAAGCTCACAGAAGGAGGGACGACTGTTACTCGAGTAAAAGTACTGTTACTCTGTACTGTAGGAGTGAAAGTACAGCAAGAGCAGTGTCGGGGAGTAACAGATTACATGTACTGGAGTAATCAGAGTACAAATGATGAGTAACTGTATTCAGTTACAGTTACTGTTTCAGTGAGTGGGAATTGGATTACAGTTACTTTACTGAAATAAATGGATTACACAGAGAACTAAACCAGGACTAAACCAGGACTAAACCAGGACTAAACCAGGTCTACTAAACCAGGTCTAAAAAACCAGAACTAAACCAGGTCTAAACAGTCTGACTCTCACAGTAGTTGAACTGTTGAAGTTTCAGTGTCTCATATAAAAATAATTTTTCTTTCTGGACATGTTTGTTTCATGTTGTTTAAAAAACACGACAATATCAAGTAATCCAAAGTAATCAGATTACATTACTCACTTTAAGTAATTTAATGGATTCTGTTACAAACTACATTTTGGGGTGTGTAATCTGTAATCTGTAGATTACATTTTAAAAGTAAACTTTAGAGGAACTCAGAGGAAAAATCTGCTGCTTTTTTTTTTTAATCCCTGTGTAGAAAAAAACACTGCAGATCTGGATCATTCTGGATTTGTCAGATAATCACCCTGAAATGTTCCGCAGTGGAGCTTTGTGTGATCTGGTGTGTGTTGTGTGTGTGTGTGTGTGTGTGTGTGTGTGTGTGTGTGTGTGTGTGTTTCAGATGTGTCGGTGGGAACAGAGTCTGGAGAGTCTGAGTCTGGACGTGTTCAGGTTTAAGTCGTACCTGTCGAGTCTTCAGGGTCTGGAACTTCCCAACGCCAAAAACCCCCTGAGCTCCGCCTCCCGAAACTCCAAGAGCATCCTGGGAAAACTGGGTCTGTTCAACGTGTCCACGCTGCACGCTCTGGTGAGGGCTGAAACACCACCAAACACGACTGAAACAACTGAAACACGACTGAAACACCACGACTGAAACACAACGAAACACGACTGAAACACAACGAAACACGACTGAAACACCACGAAACACGACTGAAACACAACGAAACACGACTGAAACACGACTGAAACAACTGAAACACGACTGAAACACCACAAAACACGACTGAAACAACAACGAAACACGACGAAAACACCACGAAACACGACTGAAACAACTGAAACACGACTGAAACACAAGAAACATGACTAAAACAACTGAAACACACTGAAACACACGAAACACGACTGAAACACACTGAAACAACGACTGAAACAACTGAAACACGACTGAAACACAACGAAACATGACTGAAACACAACGAAACATGACTGAAACAACTGAAACACGACTGAAACACAACCACGAAACACGAACACGACTGAAACACGACTGAAACACAACGAAACACGACTGAAACACAACTGAAACACGACTGAAAACAACTGAAAACACACGACTGAAACACACGACTGAAACACGACTGAAACAACTGAAACACGAAAACACGACTGAAACACAACGAAACACAACTGAAACACAACGAAACACGACTGAAACACAACGAAACACGACTGAAACACACACGAAACACGACTGAAACAACTGAAACACACGACTGAAACACAACGAAAACTGAAACACAACGAAACACGACTGAAACACAACGAAAACACGACTGAAAAACAACGAAACACGACTGAAACACAAGGAAACACAACTGAAACACGACTGAAACACAACGAAACACAACTGAAACAAACTGAAACACGACTGAAACACAAACAAAACACAATCACACAAGCGAAACTCAACCGAAACATCTGAAATGCAACTGAAACACAAACGGAACATAAATGAAAACACAAACAAAACACGGCCACAACACAACTGAAACATACCTGAAACTTAACTGAAACACAAACAAAACACAACCGAAACTCTAACGAAACGACAAAAAAACACAGCTCGGTTTGACTCG